ATAAATTTGTAATATATTGAGCAGTCCTATAAAGTTTTCAATCATTCAGTCTCCAGATGAATTTTAAAAGCACAAACTAAACATTTAAATTAAACATTCAACCACTCTGACATGTCTCTTCAACTTATTAATTGTTGTCAGTCAAGTTTTGTCTTTTTCAGCCTAAAAGATGAACTTCAGTGGTTTAAATATCTAAATACCAAAGCACCTTTAACATCACATCTAATGACCTAATTTCCCTCTGAGATCAATAAAGTTTTTAGAATTTGAATTGAATTGAACTGAAACACACTTTTCTGTTCACTTGACACTTGTGTTTTTCTCAACAAAAAACAGGCGGCATAGATAAAATCTATCTTTTAAAATTTATATAATTAAAGAAAAAAATCACTGCACTCAAAAACCTCTAATATCATCCCGTCACATTAAAACAACTGAAGCGTTTGATGCATTTAAGTGTAAATGAGGCATAAAGAAACAGTAATGAATGAGGAAGTAACACATTTTATTGCTGCACAGATCAAATTACACTTAACAAATGGTGCATTTTACAAAATAAATCAAACTCAAAATGCACATTTTTAGCCGTTTTAAATGCTAAATAAAGCAGAGAGGTTAAAGGTCCTCCTCCACCTGTCAGGTTCATTTTCATACGTCCTTATTTCAGGATTGTGCACCGTGAGAACTGCTGTTTGCTCAGGGAGGCAGACGTTCACACAGGATTAGATAACACTGGTTTAACTAATACAGGTTTGTGTGTGAAACGAAGTCAAGGAGAAAAACCGTTTCAGCAACTTTTTCTGTGTTTTTCATTGAAAGCATGAAGAGAATTTGAGTTATTTCCAACAGAAAAGCTTTTCTGTAAATAACAACCGTGACACTTTCTGTGGGTTTACCTGAACGACCCTCCTCCTCAGAGGGTCTCCTCTCTGGGGGCAAATATCAGACGTCAGTGCCAGACTCTGTAGGAATATGTCTGATATTTAGTTGACATGATGAGACACGAGAACAACCGAATATCAAACATATCAAACAGCCTCAGGCAGATCAGCAGGCCGGGCCGGGTCGGGTCGGGCTGGGTCGGGCCGGGCCGGGCCGAGCTGAGAAAACAAGAGAGACACAGTGAGTTGTGAAAATGATCAGAAACAGTCTGACTGGAACAACCTGTTCAGTGAAGAAACATCTCTGCTCATTTCAACCAGAAAATACCTCAGAGTCTTACCTCCCTTCACACGTCTTCATCACAGGTCACATCTGAAACACACAGACACACAACTTTGATTGTTTTGAAAAGTTTGTTAAAAAAAACAACAAAGTTGAACAGAAAGTGTCTCGTGGCTGAGGGAGTGTGTGTGAGCTGCTCAGGAACACAGCACTTATTTATACACCTCTGGACAGGCCGGGGTGCAGGAGTACCCAAAACCACACACACACACACACACACACACACACACACACACACACACACACACACACACACACACACACACACAAATGGTTAGTTCACCACACTGGGATAAGTGTTGCCAAGAAACACGCTCTCTGACTCCCAAAACACTGTAAGAATGCATTTTCAGATCCTCATAAGGGAAAAAAAAAATCTAGATATCAGAGAAACATTGGTCCACAGAAGATTAATTCTGATTGAAACGCCACTGCGTATCTGCTACAAAAGAACACCCACACCGTGGAAAAAACATGACATTTTATCCAGGAAGAAGATCTGTGCTCACAAATCAATATGAGGAGCTGAAACACAGCAAAATCCAAAAAAACAATASTGGAGAATTTACAGAGGAACAGAATGAAATCTGTTTTTTTTTTTTAATGCAACACAAACACCTACACACACTCTGTGAACCCATGTGTTATCCATCAGTGGTACTCAGAGCAGGGTTAGCTGGGGGGAATCTCTATTGATCTGTTTTTTTATTCCCAAAAAAAACATTGTAACAGTAAAAAGTCTGCTGTCCGATCCGTCTTTGGCACACTGAAACTGGTAACCATTAATCCTGCCTGTAAAGCCAGACAACAAGCCTTAAACACACACACGCAAGGAGAGCATGTAGTAAAAGTTTCTCTGTTGTTTGTCATTTCCAATCATCTTGTCAGGTTTGTTTTAAATAAATTGGAAGGTCAACGTATGAGTAGTTTTGCGCACAAACTGCAGTAAGTTTCATTTGGTTGCATCATAGTACTACAACTGCAAATAGTAACAAAAATAACATTGATAATGATGGATTATTTGTTTCTCAGATGAACAGAAGGCCTCAGATTACACTCAGAATAAAACATAAGAGAAAGCGTACTCCACCACATAAAACCTCACTATGCTGGACTATAGGGCTGGGTTTTAAAAAAATTAATTACCGGTAAATCGATCTGGATCGATTCTCATTCAAATTTGGCAGGGGTAGACATGAGGATTTTTTTCAGGTTGTCCGCTGGACAACCTGTTGACAAAATCTGGTTGTCCGCGAAACATTTTGGTTGTCTAAAAAAACAAAATCTCAATTAAAATGTAATTTAATAGGTAGCCTATATTGTTCTGTATACATAGCTTACTATATGCAAATGTTCTCAGTCTGCAGGTTAAGTCTCAGGAGCTGCTTGAGTAAAACTCCTCCTCATCCTCTTCGTTGAAATAGAGCAAAAATCAACATCTAACAACCATAAGCTTTCTGCTTACAGGACAAACATTTTAATCTAAATAGTAGTACAACCTACTGTCTACATGACATTATTAAAGCTACAGTTTAGTGTTCTTAGGACTGAAGACTTTCTGGATAAAGGGGATTTAAACAGCTCTTCTGTCATTTTAGTGTTTTCAACTGAGGAGCTTTGACGTATTTATTAAAAATAATTATACCACAAGAAGTTCTCTGCATAGAAAAAACAATTTATTTTTTACAGTTTTTTTTAACCAAACTGACAAGTTTCTCCACTAAAATTGTTGTGTAATGTAAATGCATTGAAACACCTGGTTAAATTTAGAAGATATTATGTTTAACTATAAGCACCTGAAGCTGACTCAGAGAACTCTGATTTTAGAGGAAAATCAAAGTCAAACGTAGAGACGCACTACTGTACGTAAACATCTGACTGAAACTGTTCTCCTCAGTATGTATAAATGTGTGAACGATGTCAGTTTAACAATATCATTTAGTTTTGTTACAAATTATTATTTTTTTTTTAATTTAAGAAACATCTTAATGTAATTCACAGTGATGGAATGTTGTAGCTGAAGTACCTTTTTTCTTTCTTTCTTTCTTTCTTTCTTCTTGTTAAGTTGTATTAAACAGAAGGTAACAGAAACATTACAAATATACAATTATCATACTCTCAAAAGAGTGCACCTCTTCTCCTGTAACCTTATTACAACCCTTCTTAATGATCAAGAAAATTATTCTTAAGTTTCTTAAAAAACTAATGTATACAACAC